GGGAGTTATCGCAATTTTTGTGATTTTTCCTTAATTTATGATAACCAGTGTATGTCGTTTCTTAAGTAATAGATAATTGTCAAAATTTCACATACTTTATGTTTATGGTCTTGTGCTCATAGATCATATCAGTAGTCCATAAGCAAATGAATTTTGTCCACCAATCAGTCAGCCTACAGCTAGCAGAGTAGTTTCTTATGTTACATGGTAGGGCGATACTTTAAATTTTTGCAGTTTATTCTAAAATACAATCTCAGAATAAAGTTCCAAATATTGTAACACTATTGACTACTGCAAACTTTTCCCACAATTTCTGTAAACACTGCTAGTTGTGAGAACAGTTTTCTAAATAAAAATTATTTAGAAAGTATTTTATAACAATATATGTTTATTTCGTATTTAAAAAGTATATAAGAACTATAAATGTTTATGCCTTTTACAATTTTTTTTTTTTTTCCTTTCTGCCTACATTACAGAAACTGTAGCAATCAAGTAGACTACTATGTCATCGAGGGTTTTGAGAAAAAAAAAAAAAAAAGCAAAATAATACTAATGTTGGAATTTAAATTCTTCCAAGAATTCCAACGTTGGAATTTAAATTTTTCTTCAAAAATAAGCAAAGTTACTGCCCTATATTTTAACTTTTTTCTTTGTTTCTCTATCAAAGGAAGTGATAAATTCAGAAAACAAGGGGCAAAACTCTAGTTATGCTACTGATCTGTCCATAACAAAAGGATGGGAGGAAAATATTCATATTTGTTATTTGTTTGTCTATCAAGGGGGTAATAAATTCAGGGAACAAGCAGAAAGAGCTCTAGCTATGCCACTGACCTGTCTATAGTAAAATGCTGGGGAAAAAATATTCCTAAGTGTTTTAAAAATTTTCTACCTAGTGGAGTGGCTAGAAAATTTCGGCCACCGTGTACTCAAATAAATATTCCTAGAGCAGCTGCCCGCCAAAAATTACATCACTTGTCTGTACTATAATTGGTCTAAAGATGTTTGAAGGCTTGTCCCCTCTCAATGAAGTCAAAAGGACCCAATCATGTACCAACCGAGGGGCAGAGAATGGTTTTCTCTGTAAAATTGGATGTGGTAGATGATATCGTTTCTTTTAGTCAATATTGTTTGCACTATAATAGATCCAGTGATCATAATCAGCACTATAATAGATTCAGAGATACAGTGATCATAGAACAGATATTCAGATAAGAGAGGAATTTTTCCAGTGAGAAAAATTTAGCTGTTTGAGTTGTTATATGCACATTGGGGGGGGAGGGGAATCCTTTCTTGGAACAGATGATAACTGGTAGTAAAAAAAGGATCACCCATGAAAACATTGTTGGGAAAAGAGTATACTGTAAGCCTAAACACCCCCCCCCCCATCTACAAACCAAGCCTGAGCATGAATATAAAAATGTGTGTATAGTGGAACACAAAACACTGCAAGTCTAACAAACCAAACAAAAAGCTCAATTCAGAGAGATATTGTCAGCAAATGGATAATTTAAACATAAGCAATCAAAGAGAAGAGGCCAGCAATGTTTACAATAAGAAGCACATCATGATAATACCAGACCACATGCTGTTTTTATGACTCGTCAGAAAATCACAGAGCTAGGCTGAGAAATTCTGCTGCATCTAACAAAAGCACCCTCTAATTATGATTTGTTTCTCTCCTTGAAAAATTTTTTGAATGAGAAAAAATTCAAAACTGAAGCAGTTGTCAGATGTCAGTTTTTGCCACCCAGGGCAACCCCTGAACATGCTGGCCCACTTCATATATAAACAATAAAAAAAAATGTCAAAATGGCATATAGGGAAATTAATCAAAATTCTGTGACGATGAGTATGTTTTTTCCTGGAAGTATCAAGTTGTTGCACACTGGTTTCTACAGAAAACTATCTGGCATGTATTGTTCTTACAACGATGATCTGTTCTTATAATGATGAATATGATCTGAATTTCTTTTCCTTGGAAAAAAAATTATTCTCTTGAATATGATCTGAATTTCTTTTCCTTGGAAAAAAAAAATTATTCTCTTCCTTCAAAAAAAAAGAAAGGTTTAAAAAAAAAAAAAAAAAAAAGATAAGATATATGCAGAAATCTGTTTGAAATAACAGTAAGTTTAAATGACCGAGACACTTTCAAGCTCAAATATCTATTTAACAGCACTGTTACATGCATAGATGGTTTTTTAAAATATAAAATTCAAACTATTGTTTATATTATTAGGGTTATTTAGCTGAAGACTTTTGATCTCTCATCAATATGATAAATTACAAATACATAAATAGATATTCATTTTTTGTAGGCACTTACACATTATCCCATCGACTGGTCAAGGAGCATGATTTAGTACCAATTGTGGATGGCCATGTCCTTTAGAATTCTGTAGTAGCAATTAGCAATTGGTGACTGTTGCCAAAATTTCTGCCAATGGTCGATGGAATAATACATAAATACCGCTTTTTGCTTTACATTTAATCAAGAACCAAAAAGTATATTTTCTTTTACTTCTAATTTGGATATCTATTAAAGAATGAAAAGTACCTGTCCTTTCTCCTTTTCAACTTTACGGAAGCACTTGCTCAGCGACAGATTGTGTCTGACAGAATTTTTCCATCCAGTTGGAGCATTTTGAAAATATGGAAAATGAGTCAATATCCAATTGTAAATGTCTTTGACAGGTAGCGCTTTATTTATAGAATCCTCAATGGCCATGAATATGAGACAACTGAAGGAAAATGGTGGCTTGGAATCTGCATGAAGAGTAGGATTATAAGGCGAATGTGTTGATATAGTATCACCACCTTGCTCACCCTCTTCTCCATTGACAGTAACATGTTCAACAGCTTCATCCAAATAATCACTGGATGGGCTGTCACTGAGATTTTCTTCATCAATCCCATAATTTCCCATTGGAAATTTACTAAGCAAATCAGTGTCCTGTAACCAGGACAAGCTTGTAAGCTCATCATCTTCAACTCCATTTGCTTCTTTTATATGTATTCCACTTAATAAACCATTAACTGATGGAGATTTTTCAAGCGAAAATACACCATTATGGCCATTTTTTAAACCAGCTGACATGGCAAGGAGAGCTTTGTCCTCTTCAGAATGTTCTTCAACAGCCATGAAAAAATGAACTTTATTTGCTACAAAAAAAATTATCATTATTAAAATATATCAAAATTAAGGACATCATACAGAAAATGAGAAAAATGCAACTAAGTTAGAAATTTTTCAGCTATATATTTATAAAACCAATACCAATAAACAGTCTGACATATATACATAAAAAAAGCATAAATAACAAGAGCCAGATACAATCCATTTAAATATCAAATAGAATTTCATTTCTTGTGAATACATACAGGAGGACAGAATCATTTTGAATACTACCATAAAACAAAATGGCCTGCACTAATCTGCTTGAATATTAATGTAAGGACAAAATTCTGGACAAGATCATCACGTATGATAAAAAGTAGATTTACTTCACAGGCTGAAAAAGGGGTTTGGTCTGTGCTTGGTGAGCCTATCAGCAGCATTGCAAAGCTCAATTTGACTAATAAAAAGATCATGCTTTGTACTTGGCAAGATTGCCATGATATTATCCATAAAAAGTAACTTGAAAAAGGTAAAAAAAAGAAAAACTGAACAGTAAGGTGTACAGCGAGATGCTAGTCTGTGTTGATGCTGCTACCAAGGAAAAGTGTCGAACTACTGAGTTCCAGCGCAAAAAAAAAGTAATGTTTCATCAAGATAATGTCAGACCACATGTTTCTGCATTCACTAGCTGAATTCAAAGATGATCTTTTGCCACATCACATAGCCCCGACATCACTCCTTTAGACTTTTACCTTTTTTCCCACCTGCAGTTACATCTTGTTAGTGCTAGCTTCCATTCTGCACAGGACATGCGAAATGAGGTTTATCTGTTTTTGGACTCATGGCAACCAAGTTTCTGGGTCAAAGGCTTTGGAAAACTACCAAAACATAGGCAGAAAATCATAGATTTGGGTTGTGATTACGACCCACACTATAGATACTGCTTTCATGTTGTTTTTTTTTCCCCTAACTTTATTACGAAGATTTTTTGGTGGAAAACTTTTGTAGAACCAGATATATTAAAATAATCAATCAAATCAATTAATAATTATTAATAAAACAATTTCTTTTAAAAAAATAATTTTTTAAAAATTGTAATTATATAGCAAGAAATAAATATTTCAGTAAATAACGTCTGTAAAATAATTGTCAGTAAATATGTTTTCAATGAATACATGCTCTATGGCATTTTTTCTATTAATAAAATTAAGAAATATTTAGCTTGGTAACACAACTGTTTTATCATTCAGATAAAATAGCTTTGTTTCTTGCACTTATGTAGCTCCAAATAATTAAAATCCATTTCTTGAATTCTGTATGAGAAACATTTTATTTTTTAACTAATTTCATTTGTGTTTTTAACATGAAGCTCCGTTGAATTATTTAAATGTAAAAATACCAATTTCAGTGAGAAACGGAATTTCACAGTAATTTTCAGACATCTGAAAATTAATATAAATGAAATGTAAATTCAAAAAGAGCCACAAGCATTTATTAACATTAAGCTGTGTTTAGAGGAATTGAAAAAAAAAATCGAAATTTTTATAATTTAATCTCCCCATCTCTTCTGATTTTACAATATATGGTTAGGTGGAAGAAACAAAGTTTAACTTCATTTAATACTTTCTACCACTACATTTTATGCAGTGAAAACATATGAAAGCATGGTTTATGTTGAGATCATTTTTGACTCATTGGTACTATTGCTCCTAAAAATAGTAAAAAATCTAGTTAACAGTTTGACAACTTTATTATATTGCAAGAAGTATAAAAAAACAGTTATAGTAATATAAATGAAATAAGTGTTTAAATAGCAGAACTACATTTATTACAGAGGGAAAAGTATGAAAAAAAATTAAAATTACAAATTCTCAACATAAGTATTCTTGTTTTTACTTCTAAAAAATAATTTAATGTTGTTATTTTGTTCCATTTTTAAAATGTGTTTGCCAAGAATAATATTCAGTTCCCATTTTCATTTAATGTTCTTAAAGTTAAGAAAATAATAATTAAAGATATATTTCTTAAATTTAAAAATAAGTAGTCAAATCTATGAACAAGCCAAGAAATAATCACTGAATTAATTCTAATAATTGTAATGTTTACAACAGGTGTTACAAGTTCCTCTAAACAATAAACATAATTTAAAGATAATGTTTAAATCAATATAAAGAGTCGTTTATATCAACTGATATAAAAGTTGATTTTTACTTTAGACATCAAAAGTTTATTAAATTTATTTTCTCAAGTTTGTACATGAAAGTGAGGGAAAAAAATATAGTAACAAACTTTCTATTATTAATTACCGGAATTGAGAAAGAAGAAACCATTTTAGTAAAAACAGAAAAATTAATAGCATATGAATATATTTAAGTTTTAATCAATGAACCAAATCACCAACCTTTCCCGAAACGTACGTCGCGCTCGTTGCCATGGAAACGGAGACAGCCTCTGCGCTTTCCCTGATCGGCGAAAAAGATAAAAGCGAAAATCTACGATTGGTAATCTAAAATGTTTAATCACTTTTACTAGTGAAATTAAATAATTAATGACATTATGAAAAGTTATCAGCAATTTTTCATTCTTCGGTCAAAAAAAATGTTTACATTTTATATATACCGTACTGGATTAAGAAGCATAAGAATTACGGAAGGAAAACATTTCGTTCCTTTTAATCACATTTAAATCACAACACAATCAATATTTCTAAAGTTACTTACAGTAATAACATCCCCCCAAAGAAAAGCAGCGACGAATATATTTTCACGTGGCCTTTCTAAGGCAAGCTTCGATTCTGACGACAGCAACTCTTCCTAGAGATGGGATGGAGATGCGTCATATCACCATGGCAACGAAGGTGAGCTCGATGGTATGCTCGCAACCGCCCAACAAAGGTCGAGATGGCGCTTTTCAGATTGCCGAATGCTCACACAGTTAAGTAACTGTTCCTTTTTATCAATCCATTCTTTATAATGCGTTTTCGATACCTTTTTTCAAAATCCATAACGACTTTGTTTAAAAGAGATCGGCAATTAATACCATTTCTGAATTTCTTCTTATCCTAAGTACGAGTAAAGTATCTTATAAAGTTCACAATCAAACTTTTTACGCACACTGAACTGAGAAAATTAATTACAAATGTATTTAGCGCTGAAATAATACAATTTTACTACACAGAGGATTATGAATTTATACTTGACAGGAAAATTTGCTATAGAAAAGAAGAAAAGCGACTTCTAAACCCCAGACACATTTCTTAAAACGAAGAAAATATCATTTTTATGCAAATATGTTATATAGTTAGCAAATATCTTGAAATATAATCAAATTAAAAAGCTTCCAATAATTATTAAGGTGTGAAATTTCTAATAAGAAAATAATGGCATTTTCACATTCTCTCATGTTTCAGGGTTTCACCTACACTAAGGGTTCGCAACCCTATGCCCGAGGGCACCATGGTGCCCGCCGATCGTTTAACGTGTGCCCGCCGCTGTGCGATCACAATAAAAATGTTTTAGTTTTCAATAAAATTCTATGTGAAAGTTTTCTCATTTTGCATGAATTAGAAATTCCGTCCAACACAGATACCAGCACAAAGCAAAATGCGACTGACCCCCCCCCCCTTTTTTTTTTTTTTTTTTTTTTTTTAATGTGCATGTTTTTATTACCTTTATCTAACTATAAAGTCACCTTGGAAAAGTAAATGAAGCCCGCCATCCAAAATATATTCTAGAATGTGCTCTTAGGGACAAAAAGATTAATAACCCCTGACCTACACTATCTTGCACACTTATTAAGTTTTCGGCTTTTACTTCTCAATAGGATCTGATTAAGAAGGATCTAGGATTTTAGGAACAACATTTTTTGGCTCTCAGAGGCCATTTTTCTTGTTTTCATGAAAGAAAAACAAGGCTATAAAGAAGTTACAGAATAATTTTGGAGCCCCCTAAAATTTGGAGTCCTATGCTCCGACCTTGAAATGAAGGTCGACGCGAAAATCAAGCTTTTCAATAATGAATACACATCAAGGATGTGCAGTTAGGCGAGCATCGTCTGCTTATAAGACTCAAAGTCACGTGGCAAAATATCCACTGTATACCAGACACTTACATACACATGAGTAAAAGGTTCATGACGGCTAATCAGCCCCTCCAACCTTTTCCGATTAATTAAACAAACAAACTTATTAACATTTCTTTCATCTTCCCTCTGAAACCTTTGTTATTATTTGTCCATTTTAATACAATTCTTCCTACATAATCAGTTTTTAAAATATTTAAACTAGTTTAAAAAATAGTTTAACAAAAATTTAAAAAGTTAACATCATAAAACACAACTGTTTCATTAAAGAAAGTGGACAATCAGTTATTAATAGTTAATAAAATTAAACAATCGGTTTTTAAAATAGTTTAATAAGTTTAAAAAAGAGTTTAACAAATTTTTTGAAAAGTTTATATTATAAAACACAACTGTTTTATTTATAAAAAGTGGATATATGAGAAACCCCTCCTCCACATATACACAAATAGAAAATTTTAAAATGTACTTTACCAATTCAGAAAGTTCTTTAAATATTAAACTGGTGTTTTTAATTTATTCACTAGTGACAACATCCTTGAAACTTCTGTTAAAATTTCCTTATTTATAATTTTCTGTAAAAATTTCCTTACTTATTTTTCAGCACATCTCTCTTTGTATTTTTAAACATTTATACTTTTCATAATTCATTTTTAGTCCTTTTCTCTTACAAAATTATGTTGAAACAATTGCATTATTTATCACTTTCTACATTCTGAATTTTATATTGTGTGTATTTGTTCAAAAGAAATTTTTATATATATACATACAAATTAATTACCTACACAACAAATTATTAAAATATATACTGTCATAGCAAAGATTTTAATAATTAAAAATTTTGATTTAATATATTAATTGTTTAATTTTGACCTACAGGACTATATCATGTTCAAAGATGATCAATTATTCCAATAAATTTCATTATAAATCATCTTTTATAGGCTGTAATATTCAAAATTATAAA